TGTTATTACTATCATGGCCCACCCCATTGTCCAGGGCAGATCTCTGTAAACTTTAAATACAGCCTGCCTGCAATTTGGGGACAATCCACCTGAAGGAAGTTCAGTGAGAGGAGACAAAATTTACCCCTCCTCTGCCCAGTGATACCCATGCTTATATGTTACTATGACAGAATACCTGAGGCTGTGTAAGTTGACTGAAAAAAGATAAACAAATCCTTATTTGGCTTAGAGCTCTGGAGTCTGGGAAGTCTCGGAGAACAGTTCTTAGATCTGCTTGGTGTCTAGTGGGGGCTTTCTGAAGCATCCTATCACGGCCAGTAAGGGCAATAGACTAAGCTCTCTGCCTCTTCTTATAAAGCCACAAATGCCACCTTGGTACACTACCACCTCTTGTAACTCTAAGGACTTTTTCGTAGGCCTCCGAATACCACTCTTAAATCAGGGGAGTCTATTTTCAAGTATTCTTGTTAGATTTGTTTGCTTGTCTGTTTATAAGTATGTGAGGGTGTATGAATGTATGAACAAGGGGAGGGGTGCTTGGCCATAGAGGCCAGAAGAGGGCGATAGATGTCCCCCCCCCCAACACTCCACCTATTCCTTTGAGGAAGGGTATTTCCCGGAACCTTTCTTCAAGACTGAGATCCAGCCAACCTCAGCGATCTCCCTGTCTCTGCTTCTTCAGAGCTCAGGTTATAGGCATGCTCTGGGCTGCCAGACTTGTTATTTGCAAGAGCAGTCTAAATTCCAGTCCCCATGATTGCACAGCAAATGCCCTTAACTTCCAAACTGACTCTCCAGCCCCAGGGAGTCAATTTTTAATACATAAACTTTGGGGGCACATTCCTACCACATTAATGTTCTTCAAAAATACAGATTAATTCACAAAAGTATAAACATTACCACTGATGATACAGGCTGGATATGAGTAAAATTATGTGGAGTGACATTTTATGCTTGATTTTTACCTAAGATAGCAGTTATATGAGGTACACTTATGGGAACTGTGTGGCATTTCAGTACAGCATATGATGTGTAAGGGTCAGACCAAGGGTCTGTCATATTCATCACCTCAAACATTTATTATGTCTTTCTCTTGGACCTTTTAAAGTCCCCCTCACTAGCTAGTTTGAAACATACAATTAATTACTGTTAAGTCCGATTACCCTGATGTGCAATAGACTATGAGAAACTGTTTCTCCTGTCCAAGTGCGCTCCTGTGCCTTCAACCATCTTCTCTTTATCTCCTACTCCTAGTCCTCACACCTTTCCCAGGCTCTGTAACTATGATTCTGTGCTCTATTCCTAAGCTTCCAGATTTAAGAGAGATTCTGGAGGATTTGTCTTTTGCTGTCTGTATAATTTAACTTTCAACAAATAAAATGATGCTGATAGAATGGTCCTCTGCTCTGTCTCTGAGAGATGGCTGGTGAGCTTCACTTCATATTCTGACCCCTGATTTAAAGGCAGCACAGTCAACATGCAATAAGGATGCATGGGAAAGTAATGGGGAAAATGAATCATCAAAAATTCTGGGGACAAAGCTAGAAGTCATATGAGAGTCAGTTTGGTCCAAGAAGAAAGAACTTTCTAGTACCCAGGTATTAACTAGATGGGTCAGAAAACAGCTGGGTGTTAGCCTAACACTCACCTTAGTGCTGAAAAGGAATTCACTCTAGGTTAACAGCAGTTGTCCTATGACCTAGAGCTGAGTTTAGAATTTGGACACTTGAGTTTCAGCCACCAGGACTCAGAAGTCCATCAGAAACCCATCATACCACCCGTGGCCATTTGTTAAATGGTCACATATTGTAGCCCACTATGTCCTCTGTCAATCTCCAGTTATAAGCTGATTTTGTCCCATACTGACCAGTAGTATCTGAGACAGCAGGTTCCAGGGAAGTATAACCAGTGGAATAGACAAAGGATGCTTCCTCAAGGAATATAGTGTGGTCCAGGATGAAGCAGAACTCCTTCCCCACTGGACTTTCCTGAGGAGAAAGGAGGGCAGCCTCTTCCAGAGCACAAAATAATAGGTTCAAAGACTTGGTGAACAAATGCTCTTGGTAATTGAATAAAAGAAATATAAAATGATAGAATGTATTAACAGGAGATTCTTGTGGTTACAGAATCCATCTTACTAAGAGTCTGACTTCTTTACCTAGTGGCCAGAAGCATGACCCAGAGCTACCAAGACTCTATAAGCCCATTTCCTTACTCATTAGATCAGTATACTGATAAAGAGAACATTGCTTCTCCAGAACATTGCCATAGATATACATATATATGTTAATATACATATACATGTATATCTATCTATATATATGAATTCACACTTTATAGAATGTGGTAAGATTATGTTTGTGCCTAACCCTTAATGTATATGCTGAAACCTAATTCCCATAATTCCCAATATGATGCCATTGAAAGTGATGAGGTACTGATGTTGGTGTCCCCTGAACCCCTGAAGTGATTAGAGACCTTACACAAAAGACTTCCAGGTAACTTTCTCTTCTACCATGTGAGGATATAATGAAAAGTGTTGCCTAGAAACCTGAAAACAGGTCCTGCTGGTGCTTTAGGCTTGAGCTCTCTGCCCTTCAAAACTGTGAGAAAATAAATTTTTACTGATCATCAGTATGCCAGCCCATAGTTTTCTGTTAGCAATCAGATCGACTGAGACACAAGACACTGAACCTAGCAGACAATTAAGGCTCTAGATGGTGATTGCTAAGAAGGGGACATAATTTCAGGTTATGTAAATACAGATATGTAAACACATATGTAAACAAGGAGTCACCCAGAGAGTTCACTGCTCGAATAGTGATGTCTGGCACGCGGGGGAACACAGGGAAGAACCTGGCTTCCTACACAGCTTCCACTGTCCTCTGCGGACTAGCCCATGATACCACCCAGAAAAACAAAGGGCACATTAGCCATCCACGGTCTTTGGGGAATCTAAGATCACATTGTGGGATGGACACTTACTCTGAAGAAGTTGAAGCAGCAGCCAGCTGGCCGAGGATACCAGCAGGCTCCAGCGCCCCCACCCCCGTCATTGCATTTAATCAAAAGTGTATTCAAAATATGATTCTGGGAGATTATAGTGGAGATTTGCAGGAGGCTCTCAGTGTAGGCAGAGGTAGTTGGAACAGATTGTGGCTGGGGGCCGGAGGCTGGGATAATCACGGGCTCAGACGCGCCATTCCCAGGCCTTGGGGTTCACCATTAGCTCTGGAGACCTTGAGCATGGGAGTGAGGACTAACAAATCTTACCCCAACCCCGCCCCTTTCCCAGGATTCACTCTGCCTAGATGGAGGTAAAGTCCTGGTTCCAACCTTGGATTAAGCAGGCTCTCATCTGCAGTTTGGGCTTCCTAATGCTGATTCAATGTGAAAAGGCCCCTCCACCCTCCTCCAAATGACTAGACCCTACCAAGAGTATCAGAAGCTCTGCTGCAGTCTCCCGGGGAGGGGGTGGAGTGTCTACCTGGACCAAGGAGGGGGTATTGTATAGAGCGCCTTGAAAGAAACCTTCAGCTAATGCTCTTTATTACAAGCGTTAATCCTGCAAAGCCGACTGGAAATAATGTTTATCTTTTCGCAGTTTAATTTTCCGGACCCTAAGCCTCGGGTCATCGAGGGCGACTGCAGAGTCCCCAGGGAAGCTGGGGGTGGGGTGGGGTGGGACCAGCTGTTGCCCAAAAGCCAAACGCAGGGAGGGGGTTTCCCTAAAGGAGATGAGGGAGGAACCAAAAGAGGGCTTTGGACCTGAGCAGAAACCTAGGATCGACTAAACCACCCCGGATTTGAGATTTTCCTCTAGCGCCCTCCTTGGGCTTTAGTTTCCACATCTGAGGAGCCTCTCGGGTTCTACCTTTTTTGTTGTTGTTGTTTGTTTGGATGGTGTTTTGAAACAGGGTTTCTCTGTGTAGCCTTAGCTGTTGTGGACCTCACTCTGTAGACCAGGCTGGCCTTGAACACCCAGATATCTGCCTGCCTCTAATTCTGTGTTGAGTGCTAGGATTATAGGCATTTGTACCACCGGCCCAACTTAAAGTTTTGTTTGTTTTTTCCTATAGTTCCCCTGATGTCCAAATATCTCTCTGCATATGCCAAAGGCTTTAAAAGAACCTTTTTCTTTTGGATCCTTTTGCCCTCCAGCCCCCACCCACCCCACATCTGGAGGGTGTCAACCAACAGGGACCAGTCTCACCACTGAGTGGTACAGCCCCTGAGACTAGGACACTGCCTGCAGATGACGTTCTCAACACGTGCCACCTCCCCTTGCTAGTCCCCATGAGTTCCTGGGGCTCCACCTGTCTCACTGCCTAAGTAGGAAGCTCTGAGTTTACTCTTTGGCTGTAGCTGAGTCCTCCAGAGCCCAGGCAACCTCATTTAACCTGCATTCTGTGGGCATCTTCAAACCTCTCACCCAACTCCCACTCCAGGCAGACTCACAAAGGGACCAAGGGACAAAGTTCCTAGCCTGCCCCTCAGTTTCCACTGGCTGGCCTATACTGCAACAGACCGGCCCTTAAGATTAAACATAGATAGATAGATAGATAGATAGATAGATAGATAGATAGATAGATAGATAGACTCTGTGGTCTCTCTAAACTCCTCAAAACAACCCCATTTCATTGTTGCTTTCCAGAGAAGCAGTGGGCCAAGGGACTGTCAAGTTTCTCTTCATGGATGTCAGCACAGTAAGTTTACAATCCTAGGACCACAAGGGAACAAAAGTTGCTCCTCAGCAAATATTCTGATGTCCCTACTCTTCAGCTGCTGGCTTGAACAGTTTGGGTGGGGGTGACGCTGTGTCCTGGGTGTTGTGGGTGGCTTCCTCAGTTTATCTCTATGCTATTGACAGAACTTACGTCGGCAGCCCCCAACCCTGTCCCCAGAAGCCTTCAAGACAATTTCGACCCCCACTCCAGCTCCACCAGACCTCTCCCAGGGTCCCTGGCATTGATAGGCTGCACACCATGTGTTCAGCTGGTTATTTTTAAGGTATAGCCTGGGAATTGGAAAGGGAAGGAGACACAGACAGTCTTAGAAACCGTTCAGCAAGGAAGTTACAAAGTGAGTGGGCTAGGCAGGAGTGGGTGAGCAGGAGATGCTGTTCCTGCCTTCCGTCCAGAGGAGGAAGAGAGACTTGGTAAAGGCGCACTGCTCACACACAGTGTTTTCTCCCAAGCTGTCCTGCCATCTTCCCTCCAAGTCTGATTAGGTGCACGTCTCCCAGGCCAGCCCCAGCCCTCTGTGCAAGGATAGCTGCTAGGATAGTTCTGTGTGTTTGTCTTAGGCAAAGTGAGAGCTCCCACTTCCTGCCAAGGCCTGGAAGCTTCTTAATATGAAGGTGAATCCAGAAGCAGCCGGGTCCAAAATTCTTCTGCAAACCGCAGCCACTGCACTAACCTGCTGAGAGAGGAACGGTTGATTAAAACCCGAAGGCCACTTGGCCATAATTTCTAGAAAATCGGAGGTCAGCTTGTGTCCCACCCCAAGGGAAGCCAAGGTCTAGAGGCAATTTGCTTGTCAGAGGCAATGCTCGAGTCAGTTATGTGTAAATTCACATAACAATGTAACCCAATTTTCTAAGCCAAGAGCTAATCCTGAGAGAAATTACTACAAAGGCCAGAATTTGACGTAAGTAATTGCTGGAGGCCGCTTAGTGTTTAGGGAATGGCTCTATGTGGCAGTAAAGTTTCCTTTCACCAGGCCCTCATCAGAGGAAGAGGACATTAAATGTCTTGCTATGCTGGGGGTCAAACCTTTGGGAGTATCCCCAGGGACAGCCTGATCCTTGGCTTCCCAGAGAGTGTCTGCACTGCCCAGGTCTTTTAGCGGGTGAGGAGGAGAAGCGCCCTGGCCACTGTGTATGTGGTCAACTCCCTCAGACATCCCAAAGCCAGAGCAACTCCTGATCATAGTTGCTGCCAGCCAAGCAGAGAACAACTACTCTTATAGAAGGGCAGAGGCCGAGGAAAGAGACCTGCAGGCCTGGTGCAGCTTATAGGACAGTTGCAGGGAGCTAGATTGTCCTTCAAAGACTGTGATTTTAGGAAATTTCTCTCTCTCTCTCTGCATTTATTTTTTTGATTTGGGTTTAGACTTGGGAGTGTTGAGACACTGAGAGTGTTGTGGACAGTCTCCTACTAGATCTGGGGAAAGCGGCAGGTAGGTATCTTTTGAATGCTGGGGTCCTACTACCTTCTGCTCCAGAAGGGTATTGGAACCGCACTTCAGGCTCCCTCCGCCTTGGGCACGGCGCACAGTTCAGTGGTAGCCCCTGCAGGGTGAACGTGGAGTTTCCAAAAGCTTTGGCTGCACAAGAATCCTCTTCGCCTCCGGAGTCCCTAGGGACCAGGAGTCGCCGGATGGAGCTGGGCTGTCTGGGAATCATGCGGCACTCTGGACTTCGGGCCCTGGGCGGAGCTGAGGGAGCGCCTTCAACAGCGCTGGCTGCGGCCGTGTGAGCCAAGGACCAAATGCGGGGTTTCTGGCCGCTTGGGTAGTGCACGATCATCCTGGGGCTACTTGACTCTGCCGTAAGAAAGTCAGCTTCTCCTGATCGCGGAGCCTCAGTAAAGGAGAAGCAGGGTACCGCCAGACCGCACTCTCTGCTCTCCATCCCGCTCTCTTGAGCGGCGGCACACGGCGCGGGCAAGGACTGTGAGCTCTTGTGAAAATCTTCCAGCCTGCGGGCTGCTGAGACTGCCGCCTCCTCGTCGTCTGCTTCTTCTTCTTCCTCTTCTTCCTCCAGGTCTTCCAGGTCACTCAGCCGCAGCCCCTGGGCCTCCCGGCTAGCAGTAACATCTGTAGGAAATCAAGAGCGAGTGAGAAAAGCCTAGCACCCTAGGGAAACTCGAGGGAGGGTCCTACCCAGAGAAGCTTTTAGCGAGATGTGCTCCGCACTTCTCCACCGGGTTGCTCTCCCTAGCGCCAAGGCTGGCTGCCTGCCCCAAGGGAAGAATTCTCCGCACTGCCCTGCCTGCCCGGCTTCTCAGATCTCCTGGACCCCCTGCTAAGCCAAGGAAAGGCTGCTTTGCACTGCTGGAATTTCTTGGTTATAAAAAGAGGAGGGTCGTTCTTCTTTCAACTTCAGCACCCTCGGTGACTGGTGTCATGTTATTTGATCCAGCAAATATGTACGTGTGCAGAGCATCATTTCGACATGAGGCATTTAGGAATCACAGCAATAAAACATCTTCCAGGGGAGATGACCTTCTAGAGGGGTGGGCAGGGACAATGTGCAGAAAATGGGGAGCTGAGCAAAACCAAACCCGGAAGAGACTTGAGAGCTTGGGTGAGGAGGGGAAGTTTTTCTGAAAGGAAACTTTGGAGCTACCACATTTCTCTGTGAGGCACTGGTACAAAGGCCCTGGGGTTTGCAATGCATCTCGGGGCAAGGATAATTAGAGCATCTTTTTAGAAAATCTATAGTAGCACAGGTGGCTTTGGACCTAATGTTTAATGTCCGTTGCCTGTACCTTTGGTGTCACCCTTCAGGCAGCCCAGAGAATCTTCTCCTCCACCTTCTGCTTTCCTCTCCTCCCCACCTTTGTTCTTGGGAGCCCATGTCATTTTGTTCTCCTTCTTGAGGCGCCGGCGCGCGTTGGCGAACCAGGTGGACACCTGGGTGAGGGTCATCTTGGTGATGATGGCCAGCATGATCTTCTCGCCCTTGGTGGGGTACGGATTCTTGCGGTGCTCGTGGAGCCAGGCCTTCAGCGCACTGGTGCTCTCCCGGGTGGCGTTCTTCCTCCGGCCAGCGCTGCTGAGCTCCACCCCGCCATACCTGTGGGCACACAGGGTTCAGATTTCAGAGGGGGAACCAGGTGCTTAGCCAGCAGAAAGTCCAAGTGGTGGGAAATGTAGTTCTGTCCCCCCTCCCCTTTTTTCCCAGAGGGAGGTCGGGAAAGGGGGATAACCAAAGGAAGCCAGCCGCCAAGCCCCACCCCCAATTTCTCACCTGTCATATTGATACTGCCCCAGAGTTGGCTCATAGGGGTAATAGGCCCCTGGCTGGGTGAGGCTGGGGGTAAAGCTTCCTGCAGCATCCTTAAACTCATACTGAGGATTCTGGTGGGAGAGGAAAAGAGAAATTCAGGACTGCACCGGGGAAGGATGCATGTATCTCACCTCCCCTTGCATTGGCTGTGCAATAGTGGGCACAGAGAGCTTTTACATGCTCTGTGCCTCAGTTTCTCCCTTACTAAGATTGAGGCAATAAAGTCATTCGTGCTGGTAGAAGGTGTGGTGGAGTCCCTGGGACAGGTAGACTATCAACTACTACAAAAGCTGCAGCTTCTGGGTCCCTCACCTCAGTACACCTGCTAACGCCCTCCCCAGCACCATCTGGGAGAAATCTTGATTCTTGGCCTGCTTGTGCTTTGGGGGTAAGTTATTTGAACACCTCTGCACCTCAACTACACCCCTGTCATAACGATGATTCACCTATCTTGCAGAACGAAAAAGAAGTGCAAATGGTTTTTAAGCAGTGTGAAGTTCTACAAACTGAGGAGTGCTGTGAACTTGAACTTGTCCTTGGCCCTTGCTATACTATTTTCTCAGCATTGTCTGTCCCATTTAGATTGTCCTCAGACAAGGTCACAGTAGAGTTCACCTGTTCATCCCCAACCCCAGTGTTCACTGAGCAGTCTCAGGCCCCACCTATCACTCACCAGTGTACCACACAGTGGGGGTGGCTCTGGGCCATAGGTCAGGTACCCAGGGTAGCTCTGAGCAGCTGCATAGGGTGCTCCATAGATGCCCAAGGCAGCACCCAGTTCTGGCCGAGCACTGCCCAGCAGTCGACTGTCGTAGGGTGTGCAGCAGAGAGTAGAGGCAGAGGTGGAGGCTGAGGCCACATCTGACACTGGCCGAGGGGCCGTTTCACAGCAAGTGGCACTGGACCCTGCAGACACCAGAAACTACAAGGACCAGAAAGGAGTCGTTAGAAGTTTAAAATTCAGAGGCACCATCTGCTGGCTCCAGCCGGAGGAGGGTAACAAGGAAGCTTCATTCCTTCATTCTGCTAACCAAAAAACACCAGGTGTAGAACCCCTCTGCTGACTGCGGGGATGGGGATTTTTCTGATGGCAATGTACCCAAACTGCTATTTTAGATGCACTCAGGGCATTCCTAAGGCTCCACAGTCCCAAGGACCTTCTGGAAAAAAGACCAAATCCCTGTGCCTCCCCAAGGGATTCTACAAAGGCAGAGTTAAAAGTTAGCGTTCAAGGCCATCACCGACGTCTCTTTCCTGTCCCCATTGAACTAAAAGGGAATCCATCCACGGTCAGAGTAGGAGATTTGTCCAAGATCCCACAGCAGTGTGTGTGTGTGTGTGTGTGTGTGTGTGTGTGTGTGTGTGTGTGTCACTCTGTTGGAGAAAACGGAGAACAGTGATGGGCATCCTCAGAAATTCCCAAGGGAATCCTCACCACTGCACAACACCCTGGTTTGGAAACTGGAGGGAAGCAGAAGCAGAGAGCTTAGAAGGAGTGGGATCAGAACACAGGTCAACAAATGAGCAGTGCAGTGCCTGCCTCTGGCCTGGAGCGCTTTCTTTGCCCCCCCCCCCCCGTCCCCTGGCCACCTCACAAATCTGTACAAAGGGGACCCTGACTGCACGGTCGGCCCCTCAGATCCCACCCACCTCGCGCAGAGAGCGAGATTAGAGTGCCCGCATTTTCAGGCTGGCATCAGCTCGTGTCAGCGGGTGCGGTGGTATGTTTCTTGGTCCTTGCTCCTTCTGTCTTCCCTTGGGTCACCGAAAAGAGAAAGCTCAAGGGCCAGCGAGCGAACTGGGCATCCCTCCACCCCGCGCCCCACCTCCAGAAATAAGGCGCTCGCGCACTCACCTGGGATGCACTGCTATACGGGTGTCCAAAGGGCGGGAAGGCCATAGCAGCTGGCTACCCCGGACACTCCTTTCTTTTGGAGTCCCTCGCTCAGCTGGGCGATTCGATGACCCCAGCTGCGTGGCGTCTGGTTTCCTTACAGGGCTGCAGGTGCTCGGCGCCAGTTCCTTGGCCCGCTGGGAGGGACTGGAGGCAGAGCCAGAGGCAGCTGAGCTGCCCAGTACGGCGATTGGGAATGAACCCCTGCGGCCTGTGGGGTCCAGAAGGCAGAGGGCCCATGGATCGGCAGAGTTAGGAAGAAAGCGCAGGGTGCCAAAGGCGCGCGGAGGCGAGTTGAGGTGCGGTACAGCGTGGGGCTGTGAGGTTCCCGAGGTGTCCCAGTCCAAGGTGGCCAGAGGCTCAATGTGACGTCACGGTAATCCCGGGCCGCCAGAGGGGACCTCGGGCCCCGGGGCCCCGGGCCACCGAGCGAGCCAAGGGCAGCCAGCCCGTGTATCCGCGCGCACTCTCAGGCACACTCTTTCTAGCTCTGTGAGGTTTGTGCGGCGGGCGAGGAACGTCAAAGACCCTGACCCTCTGCTCGCCGCTAGATCCTACCAGCTTTCGCCTCCAGCTCACGCGCGCGCGCACACAGACCCTCTCCAAATTCCCCGGGAGAAGTGAGAGATGCGCCTCCCTGCGAGCCGCGCGGGCTCAGGGTGCAGCGTGCTCGCCTCCTCCCCTGCGGCCCCAAGGAGGCGAGAGACAAGCCGGGAGGCGAGGGAGGAGAGAATACAAAAGAAGAGCCCCGGAGGAAAGTGAGGGAGTCAGGGAAGGGGGGAGAAGAAGGAGGGAGAGGAGAGATGAGGAGTCTGATGGCGGGGGAGGGGGGCGAGAGGGGGAAATAGGGTGGGCGAGGGCTGGGCGGAGGCAGAGCCGGAGCAGGTGGCTCTCGGGATCAGCCTCCAACCCATCTCCGCCTCTCCGCTGCACTAAAGTTTGTTGGCCCCGCCGGCCCAGAGCTCGTAGGGTTGGACCAGCTCAGGCAGCTTTGAAGGAGTCCTTTGGGCAGCCCATCTTTGTCCTTGGGGATCTGTCTTAGGGCTTACTTTCCCCAAACCGTTGGCTAATTCCAGCCCTGGCCGGGTCCTTGACCCCTTGGGCATCTCTGCAGAGCCTTGGCCCTGGGCTAGGCCGACGAGCGCCCCCTCCAGACCAAGGTGCAGAGTCCGTTAGAGAGCTCCCCCAGACGCGTCAAGTCTGATCCCTGGCATCTGTAGGCTGCCAGCCAAGAGTCTAGGCCATCTCCGACGACGGCCAGGCTTGGCTGCCTCCGGAGCGCCGCCCGCCGTGTCCATTCCGAGCGCGGAAGCGGGACGAAGGCACCAGAGCCAGGCTGTCACCGCTGTGCTCTTCTAGGGGTGGCGCTGGCGAGCCGCAGTGGAGAGCTCCGGAGGGAGCTGCACCAGGGACACCCAGCTGGGCCCAGTGTTGTAAGAACCACCCCCCCCCCCCTCCCGGCGGGGCTCCTCAAAAGAGCACGGATGCCCCTGGGATTAGGGAGGTTGATTGCAAGACTTCCCGACAGGGGTGGCCAGTTAGCAAGCGCTGTAGGTTTTGCGCGCTTACAGGCGGAGACCCTTCTGAAGACTCCAACACCGGACTAGATGTCTAAGGAACAGGAAGGACTGTGCAGGCTGGTGATGAAAGGTCTTAGGTGGCGCTGCTGCGGCACCAGGTGGAGTCTGCAACCCAGAAAGCCCGGTCACAGCGCACTGCGCTTGACAGTTTTCAGACAGTCCCAGGTCTTTGCCACACCGCCTCCAGGGGTCGTGGGGGCTTGCTAAAGGACAAGGTCTTATTTTCCTATTGAAACTCGAGACGGCGTGACCCGGAGGGTACTGAGAGCTCTCGGTTCTAGCCTGGAAGAGCGATTGCAGCAACTGAGACAAGGTTGGGGTCCCCTGCAGGACCCTTCACTGCAAGCTTGCCTCTGGCTTCTGGATTGGCAGGCTACACCCAGTGACCTTAGACTCAGCCCCAGCTCACCTCTCACAACTTAGGCAGAATAGGCAAGGACCTTAAGGAGGCCACAAACTGCGGATGAGTCTGCTACCACAGACCGCTGCTGCCTTGGAAAGCCTTGCTTTCAAACTGGGAGTTAGAAAAAGAATTACAGTCGTCGCCAGATTGACTCAGCGATAAAACGTCACAGTAATACATGGATCCCTTGATTTTTTTCAAAACCTACTTTGGAGCAATCACCCCTTTATAGCTTGGATAGCCTTAAGCTCTCCCTACCTCTGTTTTTTTTTTTTTTTTTTTTTTTTTTTTTTTTTTTTTTTTTTTTTTTTAGTAGGAATTGAAAAGAATTCATTAAATTAGTCCCTTGGGAAAGATTACTACTAATTAATTAATTGCAAACATTTCCAGAGGGAAGGTATGTCAATTGTAAAGTAATAAAATTAGATAGTTGAAATACTTAGTCAGCAACTTTGATTGCCCATTCGTTCCTAAGCAGAGGATTTTTTTTTTTTTTTGACAGAAAAATGGGGATGGTGGTGGAAAAAAAAGCATTAGCCCTGTCCCTTGGTGATTTTGCAAAGTAGAAACTACCTTATAGGATTTATTGATTTTTCCACTGATTTATAAGGCCTCTGTGGTGTCAGTGCTATGTGCAGGGGCTCTCGGCCTACTTCTTGTCTTTGCTCTAGGATGTGAGAAAACCAATAGGTTCTGAAAAGAAAAGTCAAAATCAGTGGAAAAACAAATTGGGGAGTAGGAAGAACCCTATCATGGCCTTTTCCTTCTACTGTGGAAGTGGATAGTACACACTGAGCATGCTTTTGGTTATGGCTCTTTACCTGTTATCTTCAGAGTTGCTTTACGGTTTGGTGGCTTTTATCGGAATGAATAACCCTGTCCCTTCTATGTTCACAATCTTGAGAGACCTTGGTTTACTGTATCCTTCCCAGGGACGGAGTGTAAACATCCTGTATTGGTGGTGCTCGGTTGTTAGAAGACACTTTGAATATTTCATGGGATCCCCTAAAAATGATTACCATGAGATGTACCTCACAAGAAAACAAAAGCAGCAGCTTAAGCCAATATTCATCGCTGACAGAGCCCTCCGGGGCAGAGAAGTCTCTTTCTTGGAATGTCTGATTCGGGAATTTTTATAGTTTGTTTCCATCTTCCTCTCTCTTTCTAGACCCTCACTTCTATAGCCTGGTGCTCTGGGCCCCTCCATCATGTCAGCTTTTCATTGCTTTGTTCAATGCTGATTAATTTATTTTCAAAAAAAATCCCCAATTGTATATGTGTGCTCATAGAATCTTATTGAAGCAAGTAAATAAACCCATCAAATACAGACCACCCCCAACCCGTTATATTTAAGGGAGTCAACAAAACCAATCAATGTCTTTTGAAAAAAAAAAAAAGATATTGGTTCTTTTGTGAAATTGTCCAACGTGTCTCGTAGTTCTTCTAGCTGCTCATTAAAACAAATAGGAAACAAAGTGCACAGAGGACCATTTGGACCACAGAGAACACTAATCCACAGTCTTCATTTGAAGTTCATATTTCTTCTTGTTAGTGCACTGACCATCTTGAGCATGTCGAGTAAAAGATGTGTCTTTGACAATAGCTTGAAGAGAACTGCCTTGAATAAGGGGAAAGACAAACAAAGCTGAAGAAAACCAAACCGTTCTGTAGTGTTTGGGAATGAAAACTTGCCGTGACTTCCTAGCAATTTATACAAAATGCCAGAGCTTATGGGGTGGCAAAGAGTAACCCCAAATTAGCTTGAAAGATCTCAAATTAAGATACAGTGAGTAAGTTCAGGGGCATAATGACATTGTAGAGACCATGCTAAAATACATTAAAAAAAAAGTATGGAGTATTTTTAGTGACTGTTTTTGAACTGAAAAGAATGAAATTTCCTCCAATCTATGCATGAATGAACAAGTGCATCTGGACAGATGCATCCATAATTTATACTGATCAGTCACCGCAGGTCTCCCTGAGTAAAGCCGAAATGAACACTAATTGTTTTGACGGAAGTAGTGTGCATGGCATCTGATAGAGAAACACAGCGAGTCCCTGCCTTGCCTGAATACATACTGTCAACAGAAAAGCTGGTATCAGGAGGCAAAAAGAAAAACGCAGCAATTCCCAGGCGAGGGTGTGATCAGCTCCTCTGGAAGGGGGCAAGGAGAAAGGATTAACCTCTTAGAGATAGAATATAAAACACGACTGAATGCAGAGAGCCTAGTTTGCAAGCATTGTATCTAGCTTAGTGCTAAAATAGATAACTTGATAATAAGAGCCAATTTCTTTTGTATTCCATGAGCCTGGGAGAGGTCCTAGACACCTCTGCTTTTTCTTATTAGAGGCTTCTGAGGAGAGCACCAGAGGTGAGAAGAAAGCCTAAGATGCCACTTAGCCAAGCAGACTAGCCAAGCAGATGACAGAGAAGAGGCCAGAATCCTGACCTCTCGATCTGGTGTCTTTTTGTAAACGTGTTATTTTACATGCATAAAGTCAGATACAGTCATGAGAGGTTGCTGACTCCAGCTGAACTGTGTGAGTTCATAGTTAATGCCTCATGGTGACAGTGTAATTTAGTACAGAAAAAATCCGAAAGGGTGCTGCTGTGAGCAAACACTTTGGGGGAGGATTCTGCGTGTCTCGTTTTGGTCTGTCTTATGAAAGGGCTTACTGACAAAGTAATTCGGGAGTTTTCAACATTTGATGTGGTTTGTTCATTAAGGTAGTGAAGAGCAGTTAGAGCCAGCTGTAACTGATGAGCATATAAAAACAAGACAAGAAGAGGAAGGGGGGAAGCCCCCTTTAAGCAATGCAGTGAAGATTGCATCTGTATGGCTGTACAGATTTAAAAAAGAAAAGCAGTAATATAACTTAGTAACTGAGTCTCTCCAGCAAGAGGACATTTTTTAATCTTTGATTTGTGTATCACCAGGCAGGGTCTTCTGTATTAATGTCACACTTTCTGAACAGTCTCTGCATAGAGCAGTTCTTGATTATTTTTGTCCTTTGCATGTTGACATCTTTCTAGTGATAGGATCAGGCATCTGTTATGGTTTCAAGGAATTAAGCTTTAGAGTAAATAGCAGATGTATGGATTTGAAAACCAGAAAACAGATTTTGAAGCCA